TCTGAGAGTCTGGCCGAGTGTGTGTGCGCGAGAGATTGGAGCTGGGGACGGGGTGTAAGATGGATTGCAGCTGTGTGGGTGGGGAAGAGTCACATGTATGTGTTTGCGCCTGGCTGTGAGTCTCTGCCCAGGCGTGTCTGTCTGTCTGAGCGAGAGATTGGAGCTGGGGGCGGGGTGTAAGATGGATTGCAGCTGTGTGGGTGGGGGAGAGTCACATGTATGTGTTTGCGCCTGGCTGTGAGTCTCTGCCCAGGCGTGTCTGTCTGTGTGAGCGAGAGCGATTTCAGGCCATGCACCAGCTCAGTCTCCTAAGTTTCTTGCCAATCAAGTCGCGTTTCCTCCAGCTCAGCTCCCGGCCTCTGCTCCCCATGGCCTTGCTCTCTCGTTAGCCGCTGGCGTGGAAAAGAAAACAGTGAGAAAGGTCGGCGCTAACGCCGCTCACACGCCGCCCGAGTGGCCGCGCCCGGGCTCCTGCCCTGCGAGGAAGCCGCCGACCGCTGTGGTATCCTGCTGCCCCAGGATATCCCGGGGCCCCTGCCCTCTGCCCCCATCAAAGAGCCCAGGCAGGCTGCTGCGGGGCTCGGGCAGGTTCTCATGGCCCCAGGCTAGCCTGTCTCCAGTAAACAAAGGGCCCGATCCTGGGCCCGCTGGAGTCACTGGCCAGACTCGGTATTGCCAGCTACGGTACAAGGCCCCCCCACCCCAAGCCGCTCAGGAAATGCTCCGTGGGGGTCTGATCCCACGCTCCCCCCCCCTCACGGCGTCCCAGCAACTCCCTGCACTAATAACAGCGCCTGTAGTCCATGCTTTGCTCTTGGCCCCCAGCGCCTTGCCTTGTAAACGCTAACGACCCCTCCCTCCACGTTGCCCCCAGGGGCAGGTGAGCGTAGCTGTGAAACAGGAGCTCTGTGCCCCGACCCCCAGGAAATGCTCTTTGAGCGCATCCTGCAAGAGACGTTAGTTCTATCCCACGCTCCACCCACCTGCCAGCTGCGACGGAGTCTACTCATGGGGCTTCTTAACTGAACAGCAGAGAGAGGCCAGATGCTGCCTGACCCCAACTCTCATGCTTCAGGGTGTGAAGGGTCAGGAAGGGTTCTAGACACACAGAGACTGTACGGCGCAATCAACCAGGCGCACTGGTGACAAGGGGAAGCTTCAGCCAGTGCTAGAGGCAGGATACTGGCCGTGAGGGGCCAATGATCTGCTTTAATACGGGGGGGGAATGCTAGAGGGACAGCTCCTATGATAGGTTGCTCCGAGAGCTCATGCAGGGGATACCCCAACCTGCCTTGTCCTTCGCTCCTTACCTGGGCTGTGCCACGGGTTTTGGGGGGAACTGGTTGGACAGCTTGGCCTCCTCCAGGATTCGCTTTCTGATTTCATCCAGGTTGGCTCTGCCTAACAGGGGAGAAGTACCAGAGGTCTCTTGGCTGGAATCTACTGCCCGTATGTACAGGGGAAGGGGCCTCCCTCCCCCCTCACAAGCCCCCAGTCCTGGGCTGGCCTCGCCACTCCTGGAGGAATCTAGGAACACAAGGGGGGTCTGGCTCGGCGTGCCGATGGCCCAGCAAGGAGCACCCTCATCCCCCTGCTGCACGCAGGCCTTGTCTGGGGCTGCTGTATAATGGCTCCAGGTCGGGAATGACGTGAATGCACAAAGGTGCTAGGGAGCCCAAGGGGCTGTGGTGGGTCAGGACGAGGGGGGGGGCAGCGGCAGAGCTGGGGGGGGGGTGAAAATCTCCCTGCCACTTGCTCCGTGGCACCGGCCTCACCAACGGTACAGGGTTTCGTTCGCGATAGATGTTGAGGATGGAGGTGGGGCTGGGGTTTCTCAGAGCAGGGCTAGGAAAGTGGGTAAGGGTTGGGCCCACAGGCCAGCTCCAGGGGCTGGCGCCACCTGCCAAAGCTACAGGCCAGTCTGGGAAGGCATCTGGACACCTGCCTTTTGCCCTTCCTCGCACGGGCACTCACCAGTGTTCCCGAACGTCCCAGGATTCCCCAGTGTCCCTGGGTTCCCGAACGTCCCAGGATTCCCCAGTGTCCCCGGGTTCCCGAACGTCCCGGGGTTCCCCAGTGTCCCTGGATTTCCAAAGGTCCCAGGGTTCCCGAAGGTCCCGGGGTTGCTAGGATTTCTCAGGCCTGGGTTCCAAGCACTGCCCTGTAATGAGAAGAGAGTCACGCTGGCTAGCGGGGCCTGGAGCTCAGCTGCCAGCCATGGAGCCACCCACAAGAGCCAGCACGCGTGCAGCCCGGAACGCTTCGCTCTGCCCACTCGGCGCCAGACGGTGATGTGCACGGACCGGAAGGAACAGGGGAGACCCTCCCTGGCTGACTCCTGGCAAAGATGTGCCTGGAGGAGGTTGGGGGGGAAGGCCTCTGTCCTCTGCTATGCGCTGCCGGCCCTGGGGCCCCCGTGAGCCAACAGGCAGCCCGGAGGCCTTGCGGGAGTCGTATGGCTTGGGGGATCTGCTCCAGGGTGGGTATGTGGGGAGGAGGGTGCCAGGGGGGATAAACACACTATCTACCCGCCCCCCAACCTACGAGGACATCAGTGGATGAACGATAGGGCTGCCAACTTTCTAATGGCACAAAACCGAACCCCCTGCCCTCGCCCTTCCCGAGGCCCCACCCCTGCTCACTGCATCTTCCCTCCCTCCCTCGCTCGCTCTCCCCCACCCTCACTCACTTTCACCAGGCTGGGGCAGGGTGCGGGAGGGGGGTGAGGGTACTGGGGTGGATGAGGGGACTCCGGGCTGGGGTTTGGGTGTGGGCTCCGGCAGGGGAGGCGGGCTCTGGGGTGGGGCTGGGGATGAGGGGTTTGAGGTTTAGGAGGGGACTCCGGGCAGGGGGTTGGGTGTGGGCTCCGGTGGGGGGTGCAGGCTCTGGGGTGGGGCTGGGGATGTGGAGTTTGGGGTGAAGGGGGGCTCCTGGCTGGACAGGGAGTGTTGGGGGCTGTGGGGAGGTGGTACAGGGTGCGGGCTCCGGAAGGGAGTTTGGGGTGAAGGGGGGCCTCCTGGCTGGGACAGGGAGTGTTGGGGGCTGTGGGGAGGTGGTACAGGGTGCGGGCTCCGGAAGGGAGTTTGGGTGTGGGAGGGGGCTCCTGGCTGGGATAGGGGGTTGGGGTGCTGGAAGGGGTTCGGGGTCCTGGTGGTGATTACCATGGCTCCCGGGAAGCAGTCGCCAGGTCCCTGCAGCCCCAAGGCGCATGGGCGGTAGCCAGGGAGGCTCCGTGTGCTGCCCTCGTGCCCACAGGCGCCACTGCCATTGGCTGTGGTTCCCGGCCAATGGGAGCTGCGGAGCCGGCCCTCGGGGCAGGGCAGGGAGCCTCCCTGGCCGCCCATGCGCCTGGGGGCTGCAGGGACCTGGCGGCTGCTTCCCGGGAGCCAGGGCAGACATGGAGCCTGCCTTAGCCCCGGGCCCCCGCTTCGCTGCCCACCGGACTTTTAACAGCCCAGCCGGCACCGCCGCCAGGATCCCTTTTCGACCGGGCGTTCCGGACGCCTGGCAACCCTAATGAACAGACAAACACCCGGAGGGCCGAAGATGCCCAGATGGCAGGCTGGATTTGTGGGCACGTTCCTCTGTACCCACCAGGAGGTGCGCACCTCCCCGGACGGACGTGGGCGCGGACAGACGGCAGCCTGGGGCCCCCTCACCTTTGCCCTCCTGCAGCTCTCCAGTTGGGCCTTCACGGCCTCTGCCTGGGCCAGAAGCTTGTTCTTCTCCTGCAGCTGCTGGTTCAGGTGGCCCTTCTCCTCCGTCAGCGTCTGCTTCTCCTGGTAGCTCCGCTTGGCCTCGGCGTCGCAGGCAGCCTGCAGGGCCTGCAGCTGGTGCTGGTGCTGCTGGGTCTCCCTGGCGCGCTGCTGCCCGCAGTCCTGCAGGTTCGCCTCGCTGAGCAGCTTCTCGGCCTGCAGCCGCCCGTTCTCCTGCCCCTGGGTCTGCATCTCCTGCTGCAGCTTGTCCCCCAGCGTCTTGAGCTGCGAGTTCAGCTGCTGGCTCAGCGTGGTGCAGCTGCTGGACGAGTAGGGCGAGAGGGTCCCCAGTTTCCCCTGGAGGGTCTGATGGATGTTCTGGAACTCGCCCAGCATCTTCTCCCCAAGGCTGCAACACTGGTTCTGCCCCAGGCGCTGCCCGTTGTACTGTGCCCGCAGGCGGATGGTCTCCTGCCGGCAGAGCTCCCACTCACTGTTGGCGCTGCTGGCCGCCTGCTTCAGCTTCTCCGTCACCTGCGAGCAGTTCTCCCGCTGCTGCTGGGCCTCCCGCACCAGCCAGTCCCGGGTCTCGCGCAGGCTCAGCTTCTCGGCTGTGCCGGGAGAGGACAAGGCAGGGGTTGGGCCGCCGGGGTGACGTCTCCCTGGGATCCGGCTCGCCTGCCCTCTACT